CGGCAGATGCTTCTAGCTAAAAGAATTTCAGACTGGCCATCAGAACTCTTAGGAAACACCCCTTCAAAATTCCAGTCTTCTGGCTTATCAGATTCCCAAGTTAGCCACTTGCCAAAAAAAAATTTTGGCGGGCTCGTACGTGGGTGCCACGTTTAGCCGAGGGCTGGGTTTGAGCCCATTAATATTCACTTGGACGTGGAACATACCCTTAAGATTTCAGCCTTCTAGCTTCTCAGATCCTCAAATTAGCGACTTACCTGAGGAAAACTTTGACGGACTCGTACGTGGGTACCACGCTTACCCTGGGGCTAGGTTTGAGCTCATTAATACTCACTTGGACGAGGAACGTCCCCTTAAAATTTCAGCCTCCCAGCATTTCCGGTTCCCGAGTTAGCAGCTTACCCGTAAAAACTTTGACGGGCTCGTACGTGGGTACTACGCGGGTAAGAGCGCCCATTTTGGGGGTGGGGGCCCGCACATGCATGTAGATTAAGTTCCCAAAATTCTAGCCCCGTAGCTTTTGTAGGTCTCGAGATGAAAAATCGGTACAGACAAACACAAAGACACACATACACAGACAACCCCTCGTCAATACGCGTTTTCTGCATTGCATAGCTGCAAAAAACGCATACTTCTATCGCTTGTAGGGGATGCTTCTAACACTTCATCGGCATTAGTGCAACAACCGAATGAAGAACAGCATTTGTCAAAGTCAAAATTCAAGACTTCCTTTGTATTCATAGAGGTAAGAAGCGCAGGTACTGAGAAGTATTTCGAGCTGCCAGCAGTAGCTACCCGCCAACAAGGCTGTCGATGGCTTCCATGTTCGAGGTTTACTTACCCCTATGGGGGGTTTTTTTATGCTGTACATGGTTAGTGTTGAAAGGAAGTAGTAAACAATCTGGGACGCCACAGCCGGAACATTGCTAAACAAATCCAGGCTGGCACGCACCAATTGGGCAGGCGTGACCATGCATTTTTGTACTATTTCGTGCTGTAGCAAGATCACAAAGAATTGCAGTAGCTAGAATTTGTGATGTATTGGCCTACGAAGTTCGGAAAATTAATTGTGCAGCTGTGTGGCATGTCAGCTGTAGATGTCGGCTTCGGTGACTCGACAGGTGGAAAATTGTTGGTGGGTGAAAAAGACCCCACTAGAAGAATTGAATTCGAAAACTTTTAGTTGTACATGAGTTGGAACATTCTCTTAAAATTCTAGCCTTCCAACTTTTCTCATCCCCGAGTTAGCAGTTTTCCCGCCTAAATTTCCACGTGCCAGCACGTGAGTCCCTGGCGGTTCCAAGGAGCTGAATTTGAAATCTTTTGAAATCTTTTGGTTAAAAGTATGGAATATTTCCGTAAGTTTCAGTTTTCTAGCTTTTTCTCGTTCCCGAGTTAGCAATTTCCCCGCCAAAACTTTCAGTCTTAGAAGCTGGAAGACTGGAATTTTGAAGAGATGTTTCCTGACAGTCCTGGCGGCCAGTCCGAAATTCTTTTAGCTAGAAGCATCTGCCGGGAAAAACAGTGCCGTTAGCGACAAAAATCTGCGGGGAGCTGTGCAAAAAACGCATCTTCGTACGAGTAGCCTGTGCATTGGCAAATTATTTATCTCCAGTTCTTGTCTCGAACTTCTGACTAGTACTCTTGTTCCCTTCATCTATCCTGTCCTCAAACCCTGTCTGCGGAATGGCATCTGTATATCCATCGCCTACCACCCCAATCAATTAGCACTAATCGTTCTCTACTCCTCACTACCCCTTTGTTCCTCTCCTCGATCTTCCCCTAAGTCATCCACCCAGAGTTGCATCCGGACACTTACCCATCATAACCTCCAACTACGCCCACCCCCACACTCAGCCTCCCACCCCAATCACGCGTTTCGGTCGCTGTGCAGTGGGTATC